TCATCCGTATTCTAAGAATTCTATCCACCTCAGGTTATGTTAATATAACCCATGTATGTGTGTATATGTATCCTTAGTATACACAACCCGTGTGTATAACTGGACTATGACATGGGATGATTCGCCCCAGTTGGAGCTCTTGGATTTTGGATCCAGCGGTACGTTTTTTTATCTGACTTGGATCCATAGGGATATCCGTATTTTACTATCAACTGGTTGGTGGTTTGGAACTATCAATGATGGTTAATGATGGTTAATGATGGTTAATGATGGTTAATGATGGTTGATGATGGTTGATGATGGTTGATGATTCATAACTGGTTGGTGGTTTGGAACATGTTTTAAAACCATGGTTAATAATGGTTAATAATTGGAATACCAATATATTTGGTTGGTGGTGACTGGAACATGTTTTATTTTCCCATATATTGGGAATAATAATCCCAACTGACGAACTCCATCATTTTTCAGAGGGGTAGGCTCAAGCACCAACCAGTCAAACATCGTCCAACATGGGGATTTGGAATTTTCCCCATGCAATGTGTGATAGTCATTTGGTTGGTTAAAATCAGTTACCATCTGGTTATGACTAACATAGCCATGGAAAGATCCACCATTTTTAAGTTCGGTAAACCATCTATTTCTATGGGCCATCTATACCATGGCAAACTGTTAGTCATAACCAGAGGGTAACCAGATAGTTCTTCGCTTCGGGCTTTTTTTTAGGCTTCACGATGATTTCACCAGAGACGAAATGTATTTCACAAGACTTTCAATCATGAATGTTCAGGTTTGTTAAATGTATTTAACACACATGTTGTTAACCAATGATGTTGTTTTCACAATGTTAATGTTATTTCACTTAGGATTAAATACATACTATATATATATAACCATACTATATCTTGGTTTAAATACAATATAATTCCAACCTTAGGTTTAAATGGTTGTTGAACATCTCCCGCTGTGTTGAACCTCGGCTCGCCAGGAGCTACTCCATCATCCACGTGCCAAGAGGCCGTTGGGCTGTTGAGCCGTTGAGCCATGAAAACGAGATCAATTCACGGTTCGAAGTCATCATGGTTGAGAATGATTGGTTAGAATTCATGGGAATTAATGGGAATTAATGTTTTGTTTTTTTTAATGGGAAAATATAGTGGTATCATTTGGGAGATTATGGGTGTAGTATGGGATATAATGGAATGGAATATATGGTAAATATGGGTTTATTATATGATGAGGATATCATATGGTATCATTAGCCAGGGACGTAAAGATATAGGCCTCACTGGACTATGATATGATTCATATGGTATAATATTATATATGGGTTATTAAATATTTTGAAAAGATATGATATATCTGGGTAAATTATAACGACCTCACTGCGACCTCACTGGAATCATAAATAAGGGGAATCATCCCAAAATGGCCGAACCATTCAGGTTAGTGAATTATTATAATTTACCATGATATATACATATGATATCCCATTTTGGAGATTTTGAACATCACTTTCAATGATTCTCAATCTGTTGGAGATTAGATTGACCTATACTGGTTGGTGTTTTGGAACATGACTTTTATTGTTCCATTTCATATATGTGATAATCCTTCCCATAATATTTCTCAAGATGGTTAAAACCACCAACCAGTGATATATATATATACCCTCTGGTTATTTAACATAGCCATGGAAAATGGCCAATAGAAATAGATGGTTTACCTGGGTTTACCGAACTTAAAAATGGTGGATCTTTCCATGGCAAACTGTTAGTCATAACCAGAGGGTATATGATATGGGAAGTCATTGGGAAATCATTGGAAACCTACTGGTCAAAGGTCAATTGACTAGATGGGTAGAAACTCATCCGCTGAATCGTTGTTTGGTATCTGGCTGGGATTATCGAGCCGTTCACCAGCTAAGAATTGGTCATTTGTTGCGTGTCTGGCTGATTGGAAATGATGATATGGGAAATCCTTGGGAAAGCTACTGGCCAAAGAAAATCTGAAAAGCCTTTACCAACCAGAATGCTTAACCCGTTCTATGAATATCATATTTTGATATTACTAGTAATAATATCAATGAGATATTATATTTTTATTATTCATGCAGGCTATAAATGTTGTACATATGACTAAGGTTTATTTAATATTATTCAACAACATACAACATTACTAATATAGGTGGTTCATGATAGGTGATAAGGATAGATGTTAGTGTTCTTCCATTTTCTGGCGGTTGATGTTTTTGGTTGGGGTTATACTCAATATCTTCTCCCTAATATAAGACAATATTACACTCTTCTAGGTAAATTATCACGACCTCACTGTTCTCCCGAACCCTGGAATCATGGTTAGATTGCGGGGAATCATCCCCAAACAGCCGAACTATTCAGGTTAGTGAAATATACCATCTGGTAGTTTAACATAGCCATGGAAAATCACCATTTTAAATAGGTAAACCATCTATAAATGGGCCATTTTCCATGGCTATGTTAAATAACCAGAGGGTAATTTACTCAGACCATCTCAAAGAAACCATGGTTGACTGACCTATTCCAGTGCCAGCTGACCGGACCTATTCCTGTCGGCTCCGTGAGGCGCTGGATGGCAACCCCAACCTCTGTGGATTGAAGACTTCCTTTAAGGATGAGGCACTGCCCCCCCTGACCCCCTGCCTTGCAGCTTGCAGTTTGCGGGTGCTTCTGACCATGGATTCTCCATGAAATGCCATAGTAACAATGGTGGATTTGGGAATAAAAAATGGTGGATACGTGTGATTAGTAAATGGATAATGGTATGTGGGTCTGTTTGAAATTGGTGTACCTTCCGATAATCAAACATGGCTATCTAGAAATCGCCGAAATCGATGTTCTAAAGGGTAACTTCGGTAACTTGTTTTTAAAGGGATGCATTGCCATGTTAGATCTTGTAGAGGCTTCACCCCGTGGATTTGGAAAACCACCATGTTTAGCAGGAGATGATCTTGGTGGATGTTCCATATCTCCATTTGACCAGCAAACAACACACGTGTTTTTCGACTATTTGGTAAAACAAAGTGCTACTTGGTGGCTCATCCCACGAATCGTAAGTGTGTTATAACCCCAATTGTAGGTGGATTAACCCTACTTATCCCATTTATAACAGGGGTTATAACCCACTTACTAAGTGGGATGAGCCACCAAGTATTAATGTGGGTAAAACAATGCCATAAACCATCCCCCAGTCATCAGCATTTTTTATAGGTGGCATGGTTACCATTCCCAGGCATGGTTTATGAAATTATTTTACACACATTACTTATTATCAACCACTAGTATCACTGTTAATCACTATAATTCTTAGATCATCATCCCATTAATGATTGATTATCCTATTAATCACCATTAATCACATGGTCCCAGTTTATGATTGCAATATGTAATGATGATCGAAGAAAACCTTGGATCCTGGCACACATTTTCAAAAAACAACAACTGATGTTTTGTTGTTGTTATGCGGATTAATATCAATGTTTTTGTGTTTATTTTTGAAAATGGACAATGTACTTTTATAGTAAGTGTTATACTTTTATATCAATGTGTTATAAGTAGCCAAACATGTGCTTTTCTTTTAGTGAGTAGCATTCAGACTGACAATGTGATGCGTCGTACAGCGGATTCTGTGTGACTAGTTGCAGTTGTATCCTCGACACTAATCCATTGCGCTTTTTTTTTTTAAGGCCTCTGTAAATCCCCTACTAAACCATGGTTCTGGGGAATGTTTAATAATAGGATAAGTTGTTTTTTTTGTTTAATAGCGTTTCTTTGTATTTACTTAGCATGGTGATTTAGGCACCAAAAGGCAAGTATGCTGATGGTTTCAAACTTCCAACCAACGTGGGTGTTGAAATTATTCAAACTGGTGGTATTGGTTAATATGGTTCAAAACACATAGATTCGTTGATCAAACTCGATTCAATCTGGTGGTTTGGAACATGGCTGGATTATGACTTTCCATTCAGTTGGGATTGTCATCATCCCAACTGACGAACTCACTCCATCATTTTTTTAGAGGGTAGGGCGAAAAACCACCAACCAGTATATTATTAACCATCATTCATCATATATTAACCATCATCATTAACCATATAATAACCATATATTAACCATCATCATTAACCACCAGTTCTCCATCGTTTGTGTCGCTTACCTGGATGGAACATTTGAATGAGTTGCCCTGGGCCAAACCAACGATGTGAATGTTCAAAACACCATGAATGTAGATCATGAGTGGAGCCATGAAACAGTTTTTATTACCCTCTGGTAATTTAACGTAGCAAACTGGAAAATGACCATTAATAGTTGATTTCCCACTAAAAATGGTGATTTTCCATAGCTATGTTAGTTTACCAGAGGGTACCCCAATGTGAAAAAAACAATTATAGTTAGCTAGAAAACGACCATGTTATCACCGATTGTAGTTAAATATTTACTGTCTATAGTTAGCTAACTTGTTATGACTCATTTAAGTACACTTAGATGTTTAGTGTGTTTTTTGGGATGAACTTATCAGTGCATCAAAGTTGAACTGGTGGAAGTGCTTCGCAACAAGCGACCAAGTCATTTTCGTGTTTTTTTGTCATTATCCACCGGTTATTTGTTTCATAGTTACGGAAAATCCATGAAAATCCCAAATATATAGATGAGAAACATGATGATTGCGTGATTTTCTGACGATTTCCCATATAAAAAATGCTGATGTTCCATAGCAAACCGTTAAATTACGTGGTTAACCTGGTTAACCGGTTCACCTCCGGTTCACCTCCCTCCAAGGTTGGATCGGTGACCCGCTGTGGAAGCGGTATCCCACTGGTGGCTCATCCCACTTAGTAAGTGGGTTATAATCCCTGTTACAAATGGGATAAGTAGGGTTAATCTACTTATATATAATTGGGGTGAACTAACCCACTTACTATATAAGTGGGATGAGCCACCAAGTATAGTCTTAGAATTCGACTTGGAGAATGTGGATAAATGTGGAGATCATATTCGAGATTTCAACATATTTCAGGCGCTTGAAGGCCCATTCTGGCCCAAGCAAATGCTGAATCTTCCCACCTGTCTTCCAACCAGTAAAATGCCGCGTGCGTCGGACATGGCGAGTTCCGCAACGCATGTTCTCTCGTCCCAGCGATGCTGGGCTGAAGTCGAGTCAACGGTCCACACTAGATATTTCCCGATGTATTTGGATATCAACAGGATCAATCCCATCACCCTAATATTGAACACCCCAATTGCATGGTCCCAATGGAATGTGGAAATTCCCTACTAAACCATGGTTTCGTTTAGGGGGTGTTTAATATGAACGGGGGAAGGGATGAAAATGAATTAAACCATATCAAACAGACAACAGATGTAGAAAAGGACATCAAGTTACTTCACTGTAGTCTGAGAAGGACATTAATTCTTACTTAATATTATATGGGTGCGGGTCAAAATTGGGTACCTCAATAATTGGGTGGTTAATACATGTTAATACTAAAAATAAACTTAAATCTGTGGTCCCCCAGGTGCTTCATTTTGACCCATACCCATATGTTCATTTAGATGTCTTTTGCAATGAAAAATAAGGGCTATATTTATCAAACATCTATCTACTTTTGGCGATCTGAGACTGGCCATCACTGGGTTGAGGTGTGAAAAGGTCTCTTCATCGTACGGCTTCACCCTAAAATAGCGATACCCTCTGGTAAACTATGGAAAGATCCACCATTTTCAATAGCAAACTACAGAAAATCACCATGTTTTTTTTGGTTAAGTCAACTATTTCTATGGCTATGCTCAATAGCTATTTTGACATAACCAGAGGATGCTATGGGTATGCCACACAACCTGAGATGAGAGAAATGCTGTGCTGATATCACCAACAGTTTGATCAATGGGAGATCTCCAGGATCCAATTGATGGAGGTACTGGTACTGGTACCATAGTTTTGGCCATATGAATTGTGGGCATATTCCCTGAAAAATAGGCCTGAAAACTAGGCCAAACATATATGGCTGAGCACCAAATATCACCAAAAGTGGGTTGATGAACATGATACCAATTTGTAGATCTTGAAATAGTGGACCCATTAAAGTTTTCATAACCCAATGTTATAACCAATTATAGTTAGCTATAACTACCATGTTGTAACCGATTATAGTTCATTTACTGACTATAGTTAGCTAACTCAATATATTACTATTACTGGTATATAGCTATTATAATGGGATATAACTAGTACTGGTTGGTGGTGACTGGAACATGACTGGATGACATGACTTTCCATTCAGTTGGGAATGGAAAATCATCCCAACTGACGAACTCACTCCATCATTTTTCAGAGGGGTAGGGCGAAAAACCACCAACCAGTGATACCATCATTAACCATCATCATGAACCACATATTAACCATCATCATTATCCATATAATAACCATATAATAACCATCATCATTACCCTCTGGTAATTTAACATAGCTATGGAAAATCACCATTTTTCATGGGAAAATCCACTATAAATGGCCATTTTCAATAGCTATGTTAAATTACCAGAGGGTAACCATATATTGACATGGCAATGCCAGGCTCAAGAGCCTCCTTTCCATCCCTGAAAGTGGGATCGGATCATGGGCAGAAATTCATCCATCGTAACCGCTGTTCTGTCCCATTGCGCTCAAATAAAAGTTGTTTCAACATAGGGTACCCTCTGGTAAACTAACATAGCTATTGAAAATGGCCATAGAAATAGTGAGTTTTTCCATTAAAAATGGTGATTTTCCATAGCTATGTTAAATTACCAGAGGGTAGTCGCAGAGGGTTGAGAAAATACGCTTCCCGATGATTTGGTACGGCAGCATATGGTAGCATGAATTATGTGTTTTTTTTGAGAGCCAGAACGCGATGTATTTTGGAACTATGTATGTCAGTAATATATTTATATACACATATGTACAAACACATGTTACATTACATCGCATCACATAAGATCACGTCATCATATCACATTGAAAGGCATTGCATCACATATCATGCATAACAAACATAACAGACAGAACATACACAACATTGCGGTTGCATGCATGTATGTCTTTCTTACATGTTGGCATTACATGTGTATCTGCACTTTTGCTGATTACATACATAATATAATATAATATAACATAACATAATACAATATATTGTAATATAATATATATATATATAATATTGTTGATCTATTGATCGAATCATCTAAATACACATACATTCATACGTTTGTGTATCTTATGCCGACCTGGATGTTCCTCGTCTATTTTTAGGGCCTAGGTTCCGCACAGGTGGATGAGTTGCCAGTGAATAGATGATATAATTCTGGGTAAATTTCATCACGACCGAACCCTGTTCTCCCGAGCCCTGGAATCATGGTTAGATTGCGGGGAATCATCCCCAAATGGCCAAACTATTCAGGTTAGTGAAATATTATAATTTACCATGAGATATATATATATATATATACGGCAAATGCCTGGGTTTTGCCCGGACCCGCAATGACGACGGGCGACGCATCATCATCATCATCATCATCATCATCAACATCATCAACATAACCATCATCAACATCAACATCATCAACATCATCAAACCCTTATTGATGATCTTCAATGAATGTAGAAGTTTAAAAGGGGTGGGAGAATTAAACCCTTATCGAAGATCTTCAATGAATGTAAAAGTGTAACGGGGGTGGGAGAATTAAACCCTTATTGAAGATCTTCAATGAATGTAGAAGTTTAACGGGGGTGGGAGAATTAAACCCTTATTGGAGATCTTCAATGAATGTAGAAGTTTAACGGGGGTGGGAGAATTAAACCCTCATTGAACATCTTCAATGAATGTAGAAGTTTAACGGGGGTGGGAGAATTAAACCCTTATTGGAGATCTTCAATGAATGTAGAAGTTTAACGGGGGTGGGAGAATTAAACCCTTATCGAAGATCTTCAATGAATGTAGAAGTTTAACGGGGGAGGGAGAATTAAACCCTTATTGGAGACCTTCAATGAATGTAGAAGTTTAACGAGGGTGGGAGAATTAAACCCTTATTGAAGATCTTCAATGAATGTAGAAGTTTAAAAGGGGTGGGAGAATTAAACCCTTATTGAAGATCTTCAATGAATGTAGAAGTTTAACGGGGGTGGGAGTTTAATATTCCCTAATACCGTTTTTGTTTTTCCCATAGGAATTTCGGGTCTTTTGACATGTTTTTAAATATAGTCCCTAGTACCTTTGTTGTTTTCCCCATAGGAATTTAAGGTTTAACGGTGGTGGGAGTTTAATATTCCCTAATATCTTTGTTGATCTTCCTAATTGAATGTTAAGTTTCACGATTTGAGAGTTTAAAATTTCCTAGTACCTTTGTTGTTTTTCACATAGGAATTTCAAATGTTATGCCGTTTTTGTTTTTCCCATAGGAATTTCGGGTGTTTTGACCTTGTTTGTTTAATAGTCCCTAGTACCTTTGTTATTTTCCCCATAGGAATTACGGTAATTTGCAACATCATTTGTTTGTGAATGGGAAACCTCTACGCTGCAACGTCTGGGCAAAACCCAGGCGTTGCGCGTATATATATATATATCATTCTGAAGTAGATGCTTCACAGATATTCCCATTTTAATGAGTTTGTTTTGGACTTTTCCTGACTTTTCTATCATTCTATCTACTCCAGACTGACTATATATACATATGAGTCACGGTCAAAATGGTTGAAGACCACTTTAGTATTGTATTGCAGGAGTTTTTTTGTCAGAGATGTGCACGAAACACTGTAAAGCGATAGGGCCCCCCAAAAGGCGATAACCCTGGGACCATACACGACAGTCCATTAAACTTGGCGAAAACCAAGCAAATACTGTTGTACACATTCACAGAACGGGCAAAACCGATGAGGGAAATTCAACCTGTGGTGCCCTGTTTCCTGTAGCTACCATATCATCTGGCATCCAACTCGCTTGCTGTCTTTCTCTCTCTCTCTCTCACTTTGTTTCGAACGATGAAAGAAGATGCATGCAAACGAATGCAAAATGAAAGGAAGATGAAGTGTTGCCGAAGCACCTGAAACCGACAAAACAACTCCTCGATCCATTTCCGAGCCTGTTTAGCAATGTATTTTGGCTTCATGTTGGATCTCGAATATGCTGATTTCGACAAAACCCTGGAAAACGATAGGCCCCCCCCAAAAGCGATAACCATAACAATAGCAACTATACTCAGATGTAAAGGATTTTGACGGGAGCTCATATGTATATATATATAGACGCATCTTCCAGGTCTTCAACTGGTGCTGGACTACCTCTCGGCCCCTGAAGCCTTCGGTTGTGCTTCCGTCTGCAGCAGCTTTGCCAAGACGCTGCAGCTGAGCGACGCCCGCTTGTGGCTGCGGCGGCTGCGGCCGAAGACGTGGAAAAGCGAAGGGATTGACGAGTTGAGTCAGGAGGGCACTGAAAGGGGTTAGTACTGGGATAAGGCATGTATACCCTCTGGTAAACTAGTAAACTAACATAACTATGGCAAATCACCATTTCATATGGGTAAATCAACTATAAACGGGCAATTTTCAATAGTTATGGAATGGAATACCCTCCAGTAATTTAATGTGAAGCATGGGATTCATAAGAAGCATAGGATTCATAGGAATATTAACGAAAAATAACAATTTTCAATAGCTATGTTTAATTTCCAAAGGGTAAGGCATGTATATTGCATTTGTAATGATTGTGAATGTTTTATGGATGGATAATGCTTGTATAATGCATGTATAATGCATGTATCATGGATTACTAACTAGCCAACTAGCTAACTATCTCCATTGCCAATCTAAGTAGCCATTTTGTTTTTGGGCATGGTATCGAGGAGTGGTCATGATGTAGGGATATGTTTCTTCTGCCCACCTATAGGAAGGGGAAATTTGGGTATGCCGTGTAGGGATCATCAAATGCATAGAATGGCTGGTCGGTGGTTTGGAGCATGTTTTTCCAATTACAGTTAATAACCCAATGTTATAACCAATTATAGTTACTGGTTGGTGGTTTGGAACATGACTTTTATGACTTTCCATTCAGTTGGGAATGTCATGATCCCAACTGACTTTCACTCCATCATTTTTCAGAGGGGTAGGGCTCAACCACCAACCAGTGAAATAACCAATATTCAACCATCAAACGCATAGAATGGTTAAACACTGTGTAAAAAAGAGATTGGTATTCCACTGCTAAATGCTATAATACTATAGTCTTTTGGGGATAATAAACATGTCTAAACTCTAAACCAACATGGATATTTACTGGGTGAACATGGTTGGGTAGGTGAGTACTAGTTTGGTTTCCCAACGGCTATCTAAGGTCGATCATGGCAGACCCTACTTATTACATTTCGCTACTATTTGGTCATTGAACATGGTTTGCTGGGAAATCCTCTACAAATGGAGGTTTGTAGCTGGGAAAATCATCATGTTTGATAGCCGGAGGGTAGCGGATTTTCCACTTTGCGGACCCACATCGGGAAATTGGATATTAAGGAGATGGGATTAGAATGGATTAGATATCCAGCAAAACAATCAACAGCCGTAAACACTCCTTACAAAACCCCCCTCCCATTTTTTGCGCTGCTCCAGTTTGGTCACAGGAGTTTTGCCGCCGTTTGTTGCGCGATTGGCACCTCTGCTTGAAGCATTCAGCGTGCCAAGTAGCGTCACTTGGCTCCAATTTTTTTGGTCATTTCGCAGTGGCTTAGGTGAGGCCAGTTATACAAGTCATCGCCACAGAAAGTTGACGAGATATGTTTCAATGTGGCCAAAGAGTGACAGTTTTGGGAGTTTCTTGACATGATCAAATTGATCAAACGTCAAACGTCAGATTTGTCTACCATCTGGTTGGTGGTTTGGAACATGTTTTATTTTCCATAATATATGGTATATAATCCTTCCCATTGACTTTCATATTTTTCAAGATGGTTATTGCACCACCAACCAGAGAACATACTGCAACCGATGGATTTGGATGGACCACACGATGTTGTTGTTTTCCCCAAAAAGAACACCGAGAAACAGATGGGGTTGGTTCTCTCTGATGGGTATGGTTCACTCAGCTATGCATGTTCACCACCATAGGAAAATTGTATAGCAAAGTTTCAGGCGCTAAGCAAACTTTGTCAAATGACCACGCAAACTGTAGGGTGTATGGTGGATACACCTTTAGTTCGAAGGGGATACAAACAACTTATATCCAACAACGGGGGGCCTTCATAGTTGTAATTCACAGTCTGAGTTGAGTAGCCATTATTTGGTTGATTTGTTGATTTGGGTTTAGTTTTCATTAGTTTTCTATAAGACTTAACTGACTTAACCTAGGTTTTTGTTGAGGCTAAAAGTGGTTTCATGAGTGAAGAAATTTACCGGTTTTTCACTGAGATGTAGAACGTATGAAGAGTCTCAGGTGAGGGCCAGCTTTCATGCAAAAACAAAAATGACAAAATCAACAGCGAATATTGGAAAATTGCAATTAAATGTCTGGGTAAATTTCATCACGACGTCACTGTTCACCCGAACCCTGGAATCATGGTTCATAGGGAAATCATCCGCAAATGGCCGAACTCTTCGGGTTAGTGAAATATTACAATCTACCCAGAAATTTAGATTTAATATCTAGTTTCATCTATGTTTTAATGTTTCAATATGTTTCAATATGTTTCAATGTTAGATAGTTGATCCATGTTGATCCTTTCGGAGCCTGAGAATCAACTGCAATGCTGAACCGTACCCGTCTCGAAGTATCTGTTGCCTCAGACGGAAATGCCCCAGGTGATCTCGAGAGGCTGAGCTTGTGCCGAGATTCCCACGGACTTGGGCTTGACATTGACTATGGATGACATGTCTGCGACTCCGAACAGCTGAGTCCCCATGGTCCTCCACGAGGTCTATTGCGATATTGTGCGGATTTTGATGGTTGGGCGGTTGATCTTCTTTTCACGGCCTTTCCACAGCCTACGGCTGTTTCAAGATGAGCTTGACAGCATGGCTGCCGCACTTGTTGCCGCAGCCATTCTGATTCAGCCGAGGATCAGGAAACCAGACCCGCGAAGACAGCAATGGTTCAAAATGAAAAATAGGGAAATAATTGGGAATAAATAGGGAATTAATAGGGAAATAATTGGGAAACAATAGGGACATGATAGGGAAACAATAAGGAAATAATGGGGAGAGAAAAAGGAAGAGGCGCGAGGAAAACCAAACTCTCGAAGATCGGAAAAACATCCCTCTGGGCCCTCCATCGATGGGCCCACCTCTATCCGAGGTGGGCCCATTTGTATTAAAGAGTGGCCCCCCCCCCCAAGATAATTCAATAGATTCAATAGTGCATCCTTGTGGTGAGTTATTTAATGATGATTAAAAAAAAACAACGCATCATTAGACATGGTGTGTTTTGATCGTAGATACAAATGGTGCTGAATAAAACTTGGTTGATGGTTGATTATCGAAGATGGTTTGTAGCTCTAATCCCAGAATACCCTCTGGTAATTTAACAGTTTGCTATTGAAAATGACCCAGTCGAAATAGTGGTTTTTCCCATTAAAAACTGTGATGTTCCATGGTTATGTAAACGTTTACCAGAGTTTGTAAATGGGTTATAACCCCGATTATAAGTGGATTAACCCTACTTATCCCATGTAAATCACTGGGGTTATAACCCACAAAAACGATTCATGGGTAGTTCGCCACCAATCCCAGATTATGAGTGATGGCGACTGTAGCTGACCTTTCTCAAAATCATCGGAGTCAGACATTCAGATTCCAGGATCCTCGGTGCCTTTAACTGATGCTGTGCTTATTCGTCCCCGATGCCTGGATCTCCAAATATCACCAGTGGTACATGGGTCGCATTAAGTGGTACATGGATGGTGATTCTCCAGGCTAGTGGTTCTATACTTCTATCTTAATATATCGCATAATTATGATATTATAATATTATTTGTTTCCTATGAAAAATCTACCCATTCAACCAGTTTAGGACCCTAGGAACAGTATATGATTAGGGGATATTTTTTCAGGTGTTTACATGTGTATCTCCCCATTCCCAAAAAAAAATATGTTTACATGTGTTGGGATTTTCCAGGGTAGTATCCCCTAGTTAAATCCCAAGGTTTCACCAGTGAAACACTAACCATCAACTACAATGTGAGGCCATGTGAGGCCCCCAAGATAGCTAAGTTGGTTTATAACTCCAATAACTATGGTTTATGGTATTTATAACTATAGTTCCTAGGGCTTATAAACCAACTTATATCTTGGGGGCCTCACATTGTAGGGGATTTCTCTCGGACCCGCCGAGAGCCGAGAGCCGAGGTACGTCCTGTACGATCAGCACCTCTTCTTCGTGGAGCCCAACACGAGCATGGCTCCCGCGCCACAAGGATCAGATCCATTTCCGGTCGCCAGGCGAAGGCAGAAAAAACGAGGAACGAACATCTTAAGACGTCAAGGTTTTTTAGCCTAGGAAAAACCGGCTCAGAGACCCATAGGAAAAATGGTGATTTAACTTATTTAACCAAGAAACATGGTAATACCATGGCATACATAATATATATAGATATAATTATAATACATATATATATAATGGGGATATATCTGGATAAATTAATGAATTCTAGCGGTCTCACCTCCGCACTGGCTTACTGGTTTTTCACGGGAAAAGGGGGAATCATCCCCAAATTGCCGAACTTTTCAAGTTAGTGAAATATAACCCATAGGATCCATGTATGGTATATATATGCTAACATTTGGGGTATATTGATGGTAAATGTTACCATACATAACATACATGGATCCTATGGGTTATAATTGATACAGATGGGTTGACCAGAAGCCAGAAATGATCAACAATACTCTCTGGTAATGACTAACAGTTTGCGAACTTGACAATTGCCAATTTATAATATTGTTGATTTTCCCATTCAAAGTGGTGATCAATTCCAGTTCGCAAACTGTAAACGTTTACCAGGCCGGGTAGGGATTTGACAACAGGTGGGTGCTATCCAACATGTCTTCTTTTACCCCATGATGATCAAAATTTCGGCATGGCAATGGGATAGGTAGAAATCACCAGAGTGGATGATGACATCTGGGTATGTGTGAAAATGGTGGATTATATAATCCAAAAAGTATTTAAATTGTAATTTAACCAAGAAAAATGGTATATAATCCAAAAATAGCTTGACTGCATGGCAATTTTAATTAATGGCTGCTTAGAGTCGTAACACATTAGACTTAAGCACATTGGTTGACTTTGCCAGAAATGACTTGTGTTGACATGTAAACCATCCATGGTTAAGAGCTATTTTTAGTTTTGGGCCATTCCAAGATTCCAAGGTGTGTGTAAGGTTTGTGATGATAAAATAGGGCGTTTCTGAACATCAGGTTACCCCTTAAATGGATGGTTTTTTCAATTGACAATCCTATTGAATTGGATGATGGGGGTACTCCCATTTATAGAAACCACCGAAATCATGAAGCATCAACCATTGGATGTCCACGAAGAACCATGGGTTTTGGTTGCGGGGACCGACCAGTGAATGGTGCATTTACTGGCTTATTTTAGCCTCTGGTAAGCGTTTACATAACTATCGAAAGATCCACCATTTTTCGTGGGAAATTCCACTTTCGACTGGGCCATTTTCCAGTTCGCAAACTGTAAACGTTTACCAGAGGGTAGTTGAAGATGCTGGGACAATGGATTATGGAAGCATCACCTCTCCGTGAGCTTGGAAACTGCAGTGAGATGTCTCCTGGGTCGGCGTGGTATCGCCTGGAAAATGAGATGCCGATAGCCCCTGAGCGAAGTTGGAATAACTCCAGTAACAAGGCTTTATTTATGAGGTAGGTATCTATATAGTTAAAAATGACAAGATGCAAGGTACCAGGTAAACTAAAATTGTATAAATGTACAGGATGGGCCCCCCCAGTTATAAGTTGGTTTATAAACCACTATAACCCCCATTAACTAGTTCGTTATATCTACCATAAACATCCATAAACCATAGTTAATTCAGCCACTTTTATTTCAGGCAACTGAACGCGAGCTCGACTGGGGGCCCCATCCTGTAGGTATATATTTAATTATATTATACAGTTACTCTGGTTTTATAAACCAACAAATATAGCTTATTGAATTTCACAACGGTGGACGGAAGGGAAACCGTGAGAAATAGCTTGGGGAGAGCTCCGGTGGGAAGGAGCGATACGGGAGTGACGACAGGGTGGACGGAAAGGGAAATTGTGGGAAATAGCTCTGGGAGAGCTCCGGTGGGAAGGAGCGATACGGGAATGACGACAGGGTGGACGGAAGGGAAACCGTGGGAAATAGCTTGGGAAGAGCTCCGGTGGGAAGGAGCGATGCGGGAATGACGACAGGGTGGATGGAAGGGACGCTGTGGGAAATAGGTGGGGGAGTTCGGCAGGAAGGAGCGATATGGGAATGACGACAGGGAAACCGTGGGAAATAGCTTGGGGAGAGCTCCGGTGGGAAGGAGCGATACGGGAATGACGACAGGGTGGACGGAAGAGAAACCGTGGGAAATAGCTTGGGGACAGGAATGACGACAGGGTGGACGGAAGGGAAACCGTGGGAAATAGCTTGGGGAGAGCTCCGGTGGGAAGGAGCGATACGGGAATGACGACAGGGTGGACGGAAGGGAAACCGTGGGAAATAGCTTGGGAAGAGCTCCGGTGGGAAGGAGCGATGCGGGAATGACGACAGGGTGGATGGAGGTGGGGGAGTTCGGCAGGAAGGAGCGATATGGGAATGACGACAGGGAAACCGTGGGAAATAGCTTGGGGAGAGCTCCGGTGGGAAGGAGCGATACGGGGCGATTGCTGGAAGCGGTGACTTCGGGATGCGAAGGGACCCCGAAAAGCTTTCTGCAAACTGCTGCAGGGTCCACGTGTTTCATTACACGCCCTTCGAGGTTTGCTTGGAGAAGGTGGATTGTCCACACTGCCTCACCGATTTCCTGGCCATCAACACCTGCATGGGCAGGTCAAAAGTTCTGCGGGGAGCTGCCAACGGAAGAGGCCAAAAGGCACATCGATCCCCCAGTGCCCCAAGACCTTCAGGTTCTCACTGTGGCGGACGGTGCCCCAACACTTGAGCCAAGACTTCCGGAAGAAGTGGCTTCAAGATGTGGCATACGGACCTGAATGGGCCGCTGAAATGAAGAAATTCGATGAGCTGCTGGCAACCCATGGGATCAAGACGGCTGCTGCCCCCAGCACAGAAGAGTCTGGCGGTCAGGCCAATGCCAACGAGGACTCCGAGCTTCCGGCCGCGTTCAAAATCCCAGGAGCTCGTGAAATTTAATAGGATAGCTGGGGCACCCTGTAATAAAGATCAAACCGCAGACGAATCTCCCAACGATTTCCGAGGATGCTGGATGTGTTTTTCCACCATACGACTATCTAAAATCATGATCCCCATATATTGATGCTGGAAAGGCTTATTATCTGGGCATTATTATCTGGAAACAACTATTAGAAGGGGATTCACTAAAACATAATGGGATATAACATGATATAACTATTAGATACTTATCGAACATTAATATCTGGTTGGTGGTTTGGAACATGACTGGATTATGACTTTCCATTCAGTTGGGAATGGAAAATCATCCCAACTGACGAACTCCATCATTTTTCAGAGGGGTAGGTATACCACCAACCAGTTATGTGTCTTTGTTTTTCATGCTCCCCCCATTTGAAAAAACATAGCCAGATACGAAAAACCAACCATTGATAAGACCCAAGTTTGATGATATCAAATTGATTTACAACTTTACAATTCTCTACAACCACGTATCAAACCATGATAAAACCCAACTTTGATGATTAAATGGATGAAATCCCCTTGTGTGCCGTTGGTGGGCGCTGCGTGCAGTGAGGTCAGTGTGGATGCAAAGACCTACAAGTGTTCGATCGAGGAGTCCCTCAGCTTATAGATTTGTCTGGGTACCATCTGGTTATAGCTGACAGAGCCATGGAAAATCCCTTATAAATGGAGGTTTAATGGGAAAATCATCTATAAATTGGCCATGTTCAATAGCTATGTTAGTTTACCAGAGGGTAAGTTATAGTGACCTCACTGTGACTCTATTGGAGTCATGGTTAGGATTCAGGGAATTATCCCAATATGCGGGCAACTACAGCCTGGCCTTATTTCAGCTTAGTGAATTGTTCAAAAAATTGCCCAGATTTATATCACCCTAACGAAAACAGTTTTTTTTTGCCAATGAGAAATCCAACCACCATGATTGGGAAACACAACGGAAAACACAAAAACAGGGGAAGTTGTTTCTTCACTTTTCGGGGGACCTAGCTGGACCTTCAAAGTAACTATTGAACAATCCTGAATTGTTTCCCCCAAAAATACCGCTATTGAACTATTTTTTATATCCCTTGTTGAAGGTACCAAAAATTAAGAATACATTCAGGCATGAAACAAATTTTCGTTTGGGGGGGAAATTAAAAATGACGGGAAAGGGAGTAGTGGTATGACTATCTGGGTGTCCAGCAATAGAGTATTGTGTACAATTTTAGTTCGGACACTGGTGACAGCGGTGATAAACCACTGGAATTTGGGGGGTACCATTTTTTGCATGTATCCATTGCGTATGTCTCCAAACTAGATATCTAGGTATAAAAAGCAAAGATTTATTGAACATCTTGAACAACAATTGGATACAAGGCATCCAATTTTGTTGATTAAAGTGGTTTGTCGATGCTCCAGTGAAGTGTCTGTTGGTTTTTTATTTCAGCCCATGGAACTATAGTTCGATGTATCGCTGTGAGGCTCCTGGAACTTTGAAGGCTGTGTCTTTTTTGTGGCACACGCCCGCGGTGGACACCTAAATCAACTGTGAGCCTGTCACCGTGGAAGCTGACAGGTGTAGCAGACATGGCGAAGACGGTGGATCCCAAGGTGGCCTAAACTCAAAGTTTCGACAGAGACAAGTTAGATACCAGGCGGCCGTCTAGACCAGAATACAGCTGGAATGGTTCCTCGTGGCTTGGCTTGATTGTTCGGGTCTTCACATGGACCCAAAGAAATCCGTTTGTGTATCTCAAAACTAAGAATGTTACAATAGGAAAATGAGGTTTCCAGCGCGTTCAGAAGCAAGGTCCCTACTTTTTCAGCTTTAGTATGGGCAGCTACGGCTGGAAAAATCGGTTTTAGGCGGCAAAGCCTGGACAAACAGAAAGATTCTAGTTTGTCAAAATAGGAAAACGTGTTTTTTGAAAGGTTTGGGAGTTGTTTTTTGATGAATACTAGGTTTGGGAGCTTCAAATTAAAGGAAAATTGTCAAACAGGCAGTTAAGGACACCGGTTGCACCAAAACACCAGCTGCCAACCGCACAATGGACGTTTCAAACTACTATGCACATGCCATCAAGGCGAAAGATGATCCCATTTCATCCCATTTCTACAAAGCCAGCAGGGAAGCGCTAGAAAGGCACGCCCGGATCCACTCGGCATCCCGCCCCGATGGCGCCCTGTGCCTGGGAGGTGTTTGTACAGGTCAATTCCCGCGTGGCAACTTGCGCAAGTAGCAAGTCACCGCGCCCTCCCAGGGGAACTTTTAAGGCTCTCTGCTTTCATTTCCCCTTGTAAGTGCGCATCAATGTTGGAAGCGCCATTTTCTCAACTCCCAAAACTACTTTCATCCGTAGAAAATCTCTTCTGATTGTCAAAGAAATTACTGATAATGACAGATTCTGCCAATTCGTGCCGCATAGATCAATGATCAATGGGGTAACACCCCTTCTGGTGGCAAGTGTAGAAAGAGGCAAAGATCAATAGCGTAGCATCACTTCTGATGGCAAGTGTAGAAGCAAAGATCAGTAGCATAGCATCACTTCTGATGGCAAGTGTAGAAGCAAAGATCAGTAGCATAGCACCACTTCTGATGGCAAGTGCAGAAGCAAAGATCAGTAGCATAGCATCACTTCTGATGGCAAGTGTAGAAGCAAAGATCAGCAACATAGCATCACTTCTGGTGGCAAGTTCGAAATAAAGATCATTGGTGTAGCAGACATCGAACATTAGTAGCCACCCCCACCCCCCCACCCCTGGACCCACCCCAGCAGTGCAACAGTCGCATGCGAAGGTCACATATCAAATTGAGGACACCAACAAACATCAACATCCAATCAACATCAGCATCAAGTCCTATGCAACTTCCAGGTGTTCCATGAAACAAGTGCATAAAAACACGCCAAAACAAGGAAAACACCCACGCTCCCTGCAGCGCAGTTGGCAACTAGTTCGATGTGTCTACCATTCAGGCCCCACTTTAGGGGCCCAGTGACATGGGGAAACCCAGTCTAGGTACCTCTAAGGACCCCTTATAACCCGCAGAAGGTTCTAAGACCCCCCCTAGATACATATTATATATATTATATGATATATCATATATATATAATTATATATATATGTGTGTTTAATATTTATACATGTATATACTGTATAATATATATATATATATATATACATACTGATTTATTTATATTTATATATTTAATATATTCATATATATATATAAATATATATATATATTAAATGACCATATATATATAAATATATATATATAAATGATTGATATATTCGTAGTTATAGCATAATATATATATATACATATGACTATTCATATATATGGTCCATAAACATCTATGAACCCAACATACTTACTTCAACCAACTCAGCGAAGTAAATCTCAACAATAATCCCATGAAATCACCATGTTTGCTGCTCCAACAATAATTACTGATTGGTGGTTTGGAAAATGTTTTTTTCCATTATATACATATATACATATATACATATATACATATATACATATATACATATATACATATATACATATATACATATATACATATATACATATATACATGTATACATGTATACATGTATACATGTATACATATATACATATATACATATACATATATACATATACATATGTATATATATATATATGTTGGGAATAATTTTCCCAACTGACGAACTCCATGATTTTCAGAGGGGTAGGGCTCAACCATCAACCAGATTACCTGCAGCTATCGTTTGGGGGCCCACGCGCAAGTCCCAGGTTCAACTGGGACTGTTTGTGGTGGAAATGCCTCGTCTCTTGGCGATTTGGGGAGATTCCCCCCATAGAGGATGGTGCCCTCAGTTACCCGAAATGGTAAACGTTTACAAAAAACTATGGAAAAATCCACCATGTTTTAATGGGTAACTCCACGAACTCAATGGCCATGTTCAATAGCTATGTAAACGTTTACCAAGAAATATGTTTGTTGGTTTATAACCCCATCCGAATACAATATAAGTATTGAATATTATTGATATATCATACTAGTAATTATAGTTATGTTCACCAACTTAGCTGACGAACTGGGTCCTCCTGTAGATGTCCAGAAATTTGTTTGGAAAATGATAAAATTTGTGTGGCCCCATGTCCATAAATTTTGGTGAAATTCGTGGTGAAGTTTGGAGTTGGCCATGGCTGTCCCAGCTTCCCAATTGCTTGGTTTACCCTCATTGTTCAGGGCCAACGCTTCATGGGGATTCAAGCACCCCACAAGGTACCCCGCTGATAAGGATTCATTAAGGAGGATTACCCTCTAGTAAATTAACATAGACCCTGAAAATAACCAATTTTTAATGGAAACTAATCCTCCAACCCCTATCTGGCAGGGTCTATGTTGATTTACTGGAGGATTAGAACAAGCACCAAGAATCACAAATAACTGGTTGGTGGTTTGGAACATGACTGCATTATGATTTTCCATTCAGTTGGGAGTAGTAATCCCAACTGACGAACTCATATTTTTCAGAGGGGTTGGTCAACCACCAGCCAGAGAATAACTTAGTATTAGCTACCATTGGGGAGGTCGCTTTGTGGGAGAATCCCGGTGGGAAATTACTGTTTTCTCAATGGTGTACCAAACCAGCCCTGGTTGGGTTTCTCCCGAAAGGACTTACCAAGGTAGTGCGTTCTTAATCGTGACCAAACATGCCGGAACCAAGTCCAGTGACCGGGAGTTGTTCATCACCAGTAGGACCGTCCACTGCAATTCAAGTCACCATACGTATGGTGGTTCTGGATCCGGGTACCCTCTGGTAATGACTAACAGTTTGTGAACTTGAAAATGGCGATTTATAGTAAATTTACCCATTGAAAATGGTGATTTTCCATAGTTATGTTAATTTACCAGAGGGTAATTATAGATCAATGTCAAATGATCAGTTTTTTTTGGACAGGGAACGGTACAATTTGTTCCATGCTGGATGAAGCCAACTTCACCTGTAAACATTCGTCAGGGTGCAACGCATGCAACACATTGTGTACCCCTGCCAATTCCATAATTGTGTTAAGAACTTGTATGAACTTGTAATATACGTGTTTGATTGTTGAAAAACATGTACACACTAATAATCACTAATTTATATAATTATATGTGTATATATCTACGATTATATGTGTGTACACACTATGTGTCTATATGCACACTGTCTATACACATCACACATGTATCCATGTGTCGTTGGTGAAATATTAATCTTGTTGGTGGTTTGGAACATGTGTTTCCATATATTGGGAATAATAATCCCAACTTACTAATATTTTTCAGAGGGGTAGGTCAACCACCAACCAGATCCAGTCCAACACACATCCAAGGACAATGAACTCTTTCGCTGGCCACAGGAAATTCGTCTTAATGAGGCCGAGAAGTTGAAAACCCTGGTAGTTGATGATTGGCCTGGCAGTGTTTAACCAGTTCATGTGGGTAAAAACGGCAATATAGCCATTAGCAATTATACCCTCTGGTTATTTAACATAGCCATGGTATAGATGGCCCATAGAAATAGATGGTTTACGGTTTACCTATTAAAAATGGTGATTTTCCATGGCTATGTTAAATAAACCAGATGGTATATGTGTCACCATTAATGCCATTAATCACCACGAATCACCATCAATAGCCAGTATTGGCCATCAAATGCCATTATTAGCCACCATTAATCACCATTAATGTGGGTAGAACGGTAATAGACCATCCCCCAGTCATCACCATAAGTAGATGGTATGGTTACCATTCCCAGTCATGGGTGGTTTATGACATTGGTTTACCCAATAATTTAACTGGGAAGATGTCAAACAGCACACAACAGGGGAATAGCAGCAGACCCAATCAAGGAGAGGGATGGGTGTTCAATCATGAATTTGCGAGGGTTTTTGACCATCATTAACCATCATTAACCATCAACCATCATTAACCATCAACCAGATCAAGGAGAGGGATGAATGTTGATTGGTTTTTGTTTGGGCAGTTGTACCTAAGTTGCAACACCCAATATTTGGGTGTTCAAATGGTTGGTTGATGTTTTTTTGGGGTAGTCATACCTAAGTTATACTCGTACCATTCAATATTAATTCAATGGACATTTCAGGAACCTGAATTGGAGGTACCTACCATATATAAGGCCTATATAAGGCTTATGTAAGGGAATATCCCCAGAAAATACGGCCAAAAATATGGTAGAGTACCTCCATTTTAGGATCCTGAAATACCCATTGATTAATTGGGGATTAGCATCACCCAAAAAAACTGGAAATCCCGTTCTCAGCCAACAATGGAGTGACGTCGTGGGTGTTACCCAGTCGTGTAAGTTGACCATCAATGGCTCGGGCTGAAATGTTGGCTTTAACCATGGCTTTACCATCCTGGAATGGGGATATTTATTTATGCCCAATCAATATATATATATACCCTCTGGTTATTTAACATAGCCATGGAAAATCACCAGTTTTAATAGGTAAACCCAGGTAAACCATCTATAAATAGGACATGTTCCATGGCTATGTTAAATAGCCAGAGGGTATATTGCAAAAACATCCAATAGTGGGGAAACCTTTTTTGATGAACAGATCCTGTTTATACACAGAAATGGTTGACCCCCTTGGTGTTTCCAGATCGTTTTTCCACATGAATGCCATACGGATCCTACAATGTGAGGCCCCCAAGATATAAGTTGGTTTATAAGCCCTAGTAACTATAGTTATAAATACCATAAACCATAGTTATTGGAGTTATAAACCAACTTAGCTATCTTGGGGGCCTCACATTGTACAATATCTATTTTCCCATGGTGAATCCCTCACTCCAACCCTGAAGCGTAGCGCGTCATGATGCCAGGTGATTGTGCGCAGTCCAAGCGACGAGGACTCTGGAACATGTTGTGGTCCGTAAGCATCAAAATCTGATGTCTATACTCAAACGGATTAAACGGGATGATTTATGTTTACATGTTTAATATATGTTTATACATAAGATTGTATTATACACCCATGATTGCGATTGCAAACATTTAAAGATAAATAATAGATATGATATATATATATATACATATATTAATAGAATTATATATAGAGAGTATTATATATTTACATATATATATATCATTATGATGCTACGTTGTCTATGCATGGTTCAGTTGTGCTACAACTGGGATAGAACATCTGATGAACATGGAAAACAACCACCGCCAGAAGCAATGCCCCGGGAGAAGCCAAAGGTGCCAAGGTGCCAATTGACTGTCTGAAGTTGCATGCCCCTTTTCAAAAATCACTAGCTGAAAAGCTGTTTCTTGGCCATTGTGCGTTTGAACAGGCGGTTAATGATGGTTATACTCTAGGTTAACCTTGGATGGGTAGTTTCAATAGATGAATCAATGGTGATTAATGGTGATCAATGGTGATTAATGATGATTAATGGTAACGAATGATTAATGGTGATTTTCATAGAAAATGATCTACAAACCTAGGCCAATCTTAGATGGGTAGAAACTAATCCGCTATAATTAGTCTTTTGGTATCAATGGAATTATCTACGTTCCCCAGCAATCTAGGGGCCGCGATACCCCAAAAACCACAAAGATTGGGGAATGCAACACATCAAGATGAGAAAAGGTAAGGTGACAAATGAGAATAGTGTGGGATTTGTCAATGATTCACCTATATTTACTGTACTTATGAGAACTCTCCAAAGTGGTACACGGCAGCACTCCTCGGGTGCATCTCGGGCTTGCCCGGATCCCGTCCTGGTGGGGTTGTGTCCCTTGTGGTTTAAGAATTTAGTTTTTTGCAGGGTATCTAAGATTGGCCATGATTATAGCAATATCTTCAAACAATAATATTATTGAAATATCATTTTTTTATTTGGGCCAAATCCTATCATTGGTTGAAGATATAGTCGATAACTCCCCAATAATTTTCAACCAATCAATAAAATCCTTTCGCATCACCTGTAGTAAAACATATTGAAACATTTCGTATGTTTTTGAAGCACAACTGTGAAGAAGTTTCCTTCATTCACAACCGTGGTACTGTATGTTGCGTTGTTTTTCGTTTACTTTCAGGAGGATGAGTGTTTATGATGTTTTACGGGTTGCCTCCGGTTGCATCGCTGGTAGAAATCCCAAAGTCTGTTGGTACAATCTGATCACATTCATCATTATATATATATATATACACACAAATACATATATATATATATAGGATTCTCCAGATGCACCCTTTGAGTTCAGAAATCATGTCCAACGGATTTTCAGATTGTGCCTTCAGGACGACCGCGGGCGTGGAACTGACGATGAGGTTCTTGGGCTGGGGTCGTTCGGTCACTGGGTTGGTTTCCGTGAAAAAAATGGTGGCGAACTGTTGGATTTCAATGGGTTTTTACATCATTTCACCAGCTGAGTGTTGGTTTTTCCTATCAAGTTTCCCTTGAAACTGCCTGAAGAGTTTTTGCATGTGTGGTCCACTGTTTCTTGCCACTGTTCCTTTTCAGATTCCGATGAGACCAAAATCCTTAAGTAGAGAATGATCTCAGGCTCTTTAAACAAATTGGGGGCGTCAATACTGTAGAAAATCTTGGCCAGGCAAGGCCAGAATTAATAGGTTGGGCGGTCGTAAATTTGGGTTTTACGAACAGACTCTGCTGTTACTACCGTTGTGCCAATTTGCACGCATACAGTCTGGAGAATTTGTCCTTACCATGCAACCACCTCACCACAAGTGATGCCATCAAAAATAGTTGCAAATCGGGTTTAGACTGATTACCCTCGGATAAGGAAACGTGGCGTTGGAAAATCCACCTTTTCGTTGAAGAATAAAGTTATCGACTTGTTGAAATGTCAAATTTTGTTGCTGCAATCTCGCATTTCATTACTAAAAAAAATAAAAATCACTTCTTGAAATCATTTCCCAAGGGTTCTGAGATTTTGGCTTCAGGACGACCGCCGGCGAGGAGCCGACGATGAGGTCCTTGGGCTGGGGTCGTCTTCGGTCATTGGGTTGGTTTCAGTGAAAAAAATGGTGGCGAACTGTTGGATTTCAATGGGTTTTTACATCATTTCACCAGCTGAGTGTTGGTTTTTCCTATCAAGTTTCCCTTGAAACTGCCTGAAGAGTTTTTGCATGTGTGGTCCACTGTTTCTTGCCACTGTTCCTTTTCAGATTCCGATGAGACCAAAATCCTTAAGTAGAGAATGATCTCAGGCTCTTTAAACAAATTGGGGGCGTCAATACTGTAGAAAATCTTGGCCAGGCAAGGCCAGAATTAATGGGTTGGGCGGTCTTAAAAATGGGCTTTACGAACAGACTCTGCTGTTACTACGGTTGTGCCAATTTGCGAGCATACAGTCTGGAGAATTTGTCCTTACCAACCATCTCACCACAAGTGATGCCATCAAAAATAGTTGCAAATTGGGTTCAGATTGATTACCCTCAGATAAGGAAACGTGGCGTTGGAAAATCATAATGTGCGGCTTGGTCCTGGGGCCCATTTGAAGCCACCTACTTCACACACTGGAGATAGCTTGGCGGCTTGGCCAGGTAAGAGTGCCACTCATGAACCCGGAGGATGTGCCACCCGGGGTAGCTGATCTGAGGGTTGGAGGATGCTATATCTGATACATCTGTGGTTGGGCCCCAGTTCGTTAGCTAAGTTGTTTTATGACATGTTATAACCAATATTAAAATCATAGAGAACTATAACATAACATAGTTAGCTATAAGGCTTATATAGTATAACCATAAAATATTATCAATAATTACATTTAGATGGGGTCCCAAAAACCAACAGACATCTGCCTGTGGGGTACCATGTCTAATGGATATGATGATGATGAACCAAGGGATGGCATGCGTAGCCACTTTTTCAGACAAACCCATATGTTATCAAATATTGCATAGATTTGCATAGCATCATGCTATAAAATATTGACCATGACTCTGGTTAATCTATGGTCAATAATGGTTAATAATTGGAATAACAAGAAATATCTGGTTGGTGGTGACTGGAACCATGACTTTTTCATTTTCCCAATAGTTGGGATGATGATCTGACGAAGTCCATCATTTTTCGGGTTGAAACATGTTGAAACCACCAATTAGGATGTTGATTCCCCAAAATATGGTAACTTCATCGGTTTCATCCCATCCCCAGGTGGATTATGGATGGAATATGACGGGAAATGTGTTGGATACGTATGGATGTTCATAGCCCAAAATATGGTACCCTCTGGTAATTTAACATAGCTATTGAAAATGGCCATTTATAGTGAGTTTTCCCATTAAAAATGATGATTTTCCATAGTTATGATACAGTTATGTAAACGTTTACCAGAGGGTAAGAATAGGTCTTGACCCTATCCCATATCTCATCTCGTTCTCTCGTTCTATGCTGAACCAGCATGAACTGGATGGCTTGGCGAGTGGTTATATTACATAGTTATACTATAGCTATCACCCATTCCATCCATTGGTTCGTCATCATTACCCTCTGGTAATTTAACATAGTTATTGAAAATGGCCATTTATAGTGGATTTTTAAAAATTGTGTTTTTCCATAGCTACGTTAAATTACCAGAGGGTATATTCATTAAACATGGCTATTTATGGACATACGCCATTTTCAGACAAGCTCTACAGGATGATGGTACCCCCCAGGCAGATGCCTGTTGGTTATGGGGGAAAAATCTAAATATAATTATTGATATTATGTGATAGTTATACTAGAGTTATCTATAGTTATACTATAGTTATGGATGGTTATACTATAGTTATCTATAGTTGTACTATAGTTATAGTTAATTCCCCATCCTCAATGAGCTGGGTTTGTTTAAGGTGATTTAGGGCTTATTTTGCCAATGGTAAATCTACTACTTAGGGAATCTATATATATATATATTTATATACACAATATATACATAGAGAGAGAGAGAGAATAGGGGGGGAGCGTCCTTAAGCAAACTCAAGATGATGGGACCCCATTCCCATGGTCGCTTCACCATTGGTGGTTTTGTCACGGCTTGTAGTTGTGGGGCCATGGGGCCATGGGGCCATGGGGCTGGCCCCAGTTGAAATCCATGTTGAAATCCATGTCATATTCTGGATGGTGGTTTCAAACATGGTTTTTATTGTCCATAATATATGATATACATATATATATATATATATTATATAATTATATATATATACATGGATGTCATCCTTCCCACTGACAAATTCATATTTTTCAAGATGGCTAAAACCACCAACCAGCATTATTGAAAAGACAGAGCCCCAAAACATATCAGCACTGTGAAACAGAAGAGAAAAACCATCCCATCACAGCTCGACCCTGCCCTGAGGTTGCGAGACAAAGTCATGATTCTCAGGGTCAAACTGTTGGGGATGGTCAAATAGATCAATATCCCATTAAATCTTATCAAATCATATCAAATCCCATACATAAATCTCAAATCATCACATAATCACATAAAACCCCATGAAGTGCATATATGAAATCCCAGCTGAAAATCTACCAGACATCCAGCCGCAAAAGCCCAGCTGAGGCAGTGATGGTGGGTGAACCGCGTCCTTTCATCCCTGCGACCAAGATGGTGCCGCATGAACTGGAAGCGGTGCCGGGATATCGACGCTTGGCATCGCTTGGTGGTTTCCATAGTCATGGAGGTACCCAACAGCTGCATGGTTCGTTTGAAAATCCCAAACCAAAATTGACGATGACTGGGGAAACCTCCAGTACCTCTGTTTTAGGAAACCTCCACATGAACCCAGTACCCCTGTGTTTTTTTGAGTTAGATACGTTAGACAGTTATACATACATGGGATATATATATATATATTATAGATTGTAAGACTATGTATGCACATTCAAGTAGTTCAGAACTTTCATATTGTGCTTTAAATGTGGATACACTGTGGATACATTCGCCGAAGCAGCTGACACAAATCCTTGTTTTGCATGACATCGCTGTATCCAAATATCTGGGTAAATTATAACGACCTCACTGCGACCTCACTGGGAATCATGGTTAGTAAGGGAAATTATCTCCAAAGGGCCTTAATTCAGGTTAGTGAAATATTATAATTTACCCAGAAATATTGACCCAAAATCGCATAAAACATCATAAAACGCTAAGTTACGCCCGTATTTGTCGGTTCAATCCGCATGTTTTGTCATGGTGATGTTCCGATTCTTCAATTCATAGAATTGGATGATGGGAAATTTTACAGGAAAACCCTATATTTGATGGTAAAAACCATGGTTTCCTGTAGATTTTTCCTTAAACCAATCCATTGATCAATTCTTCACCAGCTTTGATGACCAGGTTCTTCCCAGTGACACAGATCCTGCACAGGTGGAGATCTCTCCTTGCCCGACTTGTGCCAGGATGTCTTAGCAGTTTCTGGGCATGGGACCATGGAAAATCAAAATAGGATACCTACCCTCTGGTTATAAGTTATGACTATCATCATAAATCCACTATAAATGGGCTTATTATGGTTAATACTGGTTAATAATATTTAATAATGATGATTGATAGAATATACCCTCTGTTAAACGTTTACAGTTTGCTATTGAAAATGGACCATTTATAGTTGATTTACCTATTTAAAATGGTGATTTTTCATAGTTATGTAAACGTTTACCAGAGGGTATATGTTTCAAGGACTGTTAGCAGGACAGTAGTCTGAAATGGACATTTTGGCCTCCCTGGCTGAGGAGTGTTTCTTGCTGATTTCGGATGATCTTACAGTTCTGGAAACCATTCCTCTGGGTAAATTATAGTGACCTCACTGTGACTATCGAAGATTTTCCTATCGAAGACGACGGTTTCCATCAGTTTGGCCAACGATTCAGGGTTTGAATCCGGTCAGCTTTCGGGAACCAAAACTGCATCGGTTGATCAAATCAATGTATGAACCCTTCGGAACAGGCCCCATAAATGAAAAGATCCAATACCAAAACATCAATCAAAAGGGATTACAGTTGTTATCAGTTGTCCTTACGTCATCTTACGTCTACTGGAAGTGGTATCTCCGTTGTGAAGCAAGTTTCAGAGCAGCAACTGGTACTGAAGAAACAAATCTTTGCCCCTAACCAGTGCTCTCAAATCCCCCACAATACGCCCGTGCCGAAACCATCTCGGAATTGGCTGAAGCGGAAATTCACAGGCGCCCTAAGGCCCTAAGTTAAAGCTGGTTGGTGGTTTCAAATATGTTTTATTTTCCCATAATATATGGGATAATCATCCCAACTTACTAATACTTTTCAAGATGGTTACTGTACAACCACCAACCAGTGATCTGCGGTTTCAATTTTCCGGTTTCAACCATTCCATTGTTGCTTACATTTGGCATATCCCGTAGAATATGCACATGATATCCCAACAAACACTTGCTATGTTTCATTATCCATTGGTTACCTCCCTGTTTTGGATGGTGACATACCATCTTTTCTTCATTCTCCACGCTTAAATCATATGAAAACCCCCATTTACACCCGTCGATACACGTTGAATTTTCATGAATACATATATGTATATTAATATATATATATATAAATAGATGCCAATGTTAGATCAGCATGTCTGATCATGAAAGACTAGTTTTTATCCATATGTAAGCCCTGCTGGTGATGGTTAAGCCCCCATGTTTCATGGTTAAGCCCTCGTGACATGGATCAAATCCCCCACAAATTTTATGGCAGTGGCTTAAACAACTATGGAATTTTCCTGGTTAATTCTATGGTTAATCTATGGTCAATAATGGTTAATAATTTGAATAACAATATATCTGGTTGGTGGTTTGGAACATGGCTGAATGACATGACTTCAGAAACAGTTGGGAATGGAAAATCATCCCAACTGACGAACTCACGCAACATCATTTTTTTGGAAGGGTAGGGATCAACCACCAACCAGTTATCATAAACCTAATATTTCCTGCACTTAGGGTTGGTATTCTCGCTTAAAATTCTCACGAAGATTCCCATGATATTCCCATGGGTATATCCCCATTGTTTCAATACGGTCCATCATGGTCCATGACGACTGGATACAAGGGGACACCCCCATGATGCCATGACGACGAAACGGAAACCTCCATATCCCCCTGGTACATTATTACCAGAAATGGTGTTTTAATAGGATTGATCCCCTAAAAAGGGTGTTTGAATATGTTTTAATGGGATTTATCCACTAAAAATATGGTGGTTTAATATGTTTTAATGGGATTTATCCACTAAAAATATGGTGTTTGAATATGTTTTAATGGGATTTATCCACTAAAAATATGGTGTTTGAATATGTTTTAATGGGATTTATCCACTAAAAATATGGTGTTTTAATAGGATTGATCCCCTAAAAAGGGTGTTTTAATATGTTTTAATGGGATGCAACATGATTTAACCAACAATGCTGGTGGAATGGCCATTTATTTAATGGTGAAATCCCCAACGGTGTTGTTCGACTTCTCCGTGGGAGACCCGGCGGAAAGACCCGGTGCCCAGGTCTTGTCCCTGAACGCTGCATGGTTCGATTACAGCTTCTGGACACGCCAGCTGCTAGCTTCGAAAATGAGCAACGACTTGCAGATATACGGAACCTGGAAATTATGTATTTATTAATGTATGTATCTGGCCTGCCTTTAAGGCAGGCAAATAGGACATGGTAATATTTTATATCATATATAATCTGTAATTTGATGGCAGGGATCTCTCAATCTTATATAGCCACTATATGCCACTATTATGTATCAACATGATGACATGCCGAATTATTATAGAGCCATATCATATATCCATCTGCCATGTTGGTAGGGGCGACGTTTTTTATTTTGATTTTTCGATATTTGTTTGTCAAATTGCAGACTATTGTCATAGCCTGATACATCCATATTGGCATGTCTCCTATCTCATTCCTATGACCCAAATGTATCTTACCCCCATGACCCATCCACCTCCGCACTGGGTTGAAGGGGAGTGGCAGCAAAATACATTTTCGATCGGAGGCAGCAAAATACATTTTCGGTCGGAAAATTGAACCTCGCCACCCACTCTCCAGTCGACTCCCGCCTGCTTATTAAGCACGTAGCAATATGATGCAATATGTGTTTACCTCTCTTCTTGAACTACCAGCACTGCTGGACACAAATATGATACCCTAAATGTCCTTCCCTAGTTCTGCAGCAGGCGGTGTATCACAAAATGCGTTTTTGCTAAGACCCCCAGCGCGGCATCGTACTTGCAGCAAAGGATCTAATGAAAACACGCTGAACAAAGCATTCATGAATATAATAATTTAAATAACAGAGACAAATGCACAAATCTTTGGCCATCCACTGTCATATTTGGTTGGATAGGCATTTCTGTCAAATCGGATCTTGTGTGCCTTGGTAGGTTTTAGAGCCTTGGGATTATTTAAAGATAATCTGTTCCTAATTACGTGTTGTAGTTATTGTAGTTGCTTTGTTACCTTTTGCTTGGTACAAATCTACATCATGTGGTTTGATTTCTCTTCATTTTTCCTGTTCGACAACCCAAGAAAAGGGTTTAGCCGGACCATCTTGCATACTGCTTGCGCGAGCTTCCAATATACTCCAGGGTTGCTGGCTTGATAAGTTTTGATCAGATCCTATAAAAAAGGTAGGCAACTGAGGCATTTTTTGTTATTTGCTAGATATTCAGTGTTCATTTTTTGAAGGCAAGGGGGTGTATGTCTCTGGACTCTTCAAAGAATTGGTTCTGCGACACATTCCGGACCGTTTTAATGCATTTATGGCACTCGGGAGCGCTTCGGATTGTTTTAGGGGTTTGTTTATAGCATTCGAGAAGGCTCCAGACTGTTGTCAAGAATATAGGTTCACCGTTTGTAGCATTTGAAAGCGCTACGGACTGTTTCAATGATGGACAATGTCCACCTTGGGGAGCGCTTCAGCCTGTTTCAAAAAGGTGCGCATACGATATTACAAAAGCTTCACATTCGGGAGCGCTCCGGACTGTTTTAAGATTATTATATTTTTTGAAAATTAGATTTTTGACCAAAAGAAGAAGCTGCATTTAACATAGTCCCTGTTGCCAGAGGGGGGTACGATAGACCCCGTCCTGGCAACTCTCGGGAGCGCTCCGGACCTTTGCCAGCCCATCCGCAACTTTCTGCGACGCGTGCTTTTTTGACTGTTGCCAGCCCATCGGAATATTTTCAATGAGCTGTTAACATAGGACAGGATGGGCTTGCAACTCTCGGGAGCGCTCCGGACTGTTGCAGGGATGGGGTACGATAGACCCCATGCTGGCAACAGGGACTATGTTAAATGCAGCCTTTTTTTTTTTGGTAAAAACGCCTAATTGATTTTTTGAAGCATATTTCAGTGGAGCGATTCAGTCGTTTTGTGCCTCGCAGACAAAGAGGCAAAGAGCAAGCAAACGTATGTTCAGCAAACCTAAGAACGTGCTTCGGCTTTGTGGAACTGATACCTATGATCACCGTCCCCATGGTTAGCTAAGTTGGTTTATAAGAAAGTATCTTACCTTTGATTTGTGGCAGGTGCATCTATACTCTATAGTTGATGGGCTTACAACCAAACTGATAGATAATTGGGGGCCACCACTTTGACTGCAGGAAAAGTATGTAATTGTACATACAGTTGGAGTTTTGCAAGTTCCTGGAAGTTGTGGTAAACATATTGAAGCAAAAAAACACATACAGTACTGTTTGTGGAACAATGAGAAAGATAATTCCTAAGTAAATCCAACATAGGTACAGTATACATCAAACTGGTATTTTGTGTCGCTCCTAGTTCTAATTTTACCCTGCATACTGGGCCAGAACAGTTGTGTGGATTCCAAACGATACCGATATATACGCAAATACCATGAATTGAGCGTACATTATCTCATACCAAGTCTTTGAATATAAGAAGTCTATGTTGATTGTATGTGTTCACTGTCCATACATGAAGGATAGGTTTTGGTCTCTGATATTCCTTGATTTCTTGCGTCCACACACTACATTTGCTACATATATTGAAGCACCTTCCAGATGTAAATGGTTGAAGGATGTTGAAGGCGCGCGTGGGCGTGAAAACTTGTCACGATGGATCCTTGTACTATGAGCAGAAGCACATATACACCCTATGTACACCTATGTCAATATTTGATTGTTTGCCTTTGGACTGCAAGCTGGGTATGAATGCCGAATTTCACTTGCGCAGGCTATGTATATGGTATGCAAAAATGGCGTGTCCAGTGTGTACTGCAATTGCTTGGCATCTTTTTGCGCCAGCCAAACACTAGTGATGTTATTTGTTTATGTCTATGTCTTGCTGGAAAACAAGAGACTTGACCATCGCATTATGTGTATTTAAATACACGCGTAAATTGCTAGACATAAGCAGTGCCATAATTTTGCCTTTAATACTGTATGGTCGAAATCATGATCTTGCAAACGCATGACATGGAAGCCTTTGACTGCACCACATGGATGGTTACATATCGGGCATGCTGGCAACTGGCAACGTATATTTGACAGTTGTCTATGTGGAACAACAATCACAAGCCGGTTAGTTGATATTTGATATCTCAACGAAGTACCTGTCCGAACCCATTGTTGTTTGTCACATTCTCTTTACAGCTAGATTCAGACGGAAATGGGTCCGACCAAGATATTTCAGAATATTCCTATGGCCTTTTTGCCTATCTTAAATGCAGGCCAGGTATATATATATATATGTATACACCATTATATATATATGTATATATCATATGTGTATATATATATATACATATATATATAATATATATATATATACAACTATATATAATAACAATAATAATTATTATTATTATTTTATGAATGTTTACAGTATACAACTATATATATATACGTGAACTATCAACAATGTGGCTACAGTTTTGATCATTCCTCCATGCTCCATGTATGCTGGTGAACAATCCCATATGCGAACCATGGTGCTGGTATATTTACCTACAAAACTGGGTGGTTTTGTTTGGGCACATGTTGGTGTGCATATTCCAGCACCATGGATCTATGGGAATTTGAATTCAACAATCATTTCCATTACAATACCTCTATCTATCGGAGTTCAAAGACTGATTTCTTTGGTTTTGGCCAGCATGGAAGTCACGGAGTTGTAGATTTCTTTTTGGCTCTGACGCTGAAGGGTGCCATGGTCAAAACATGGGTTCTTGTTTTCCCAAGGGATACCCCCTGGTAAATTAACATAGACCTTGAAAATCACCAGTTTTTAATGGAAACTAATCTTCCAACCCCTATCTGGCAGGGTCTATGTTAATTTACCAGAGGGTATGTATGGATATATGTCATCAATTCATTTCCACAGGGATTTGCCCATGATTTTTTCGGATTTTGGGATTTGAACCGACAGCTAAGATGTCATCAATCCATGTTCGAAGGGATTTGCCCTTCTACGTTTGGATTTCCAATATGAGATAGATGACAATAACCCACAAGTGACATGTAATTTGACCATGTCAATGACACCTATGTTATTTATTTATTTATTTTTGTGGTGGGATTGTGTGTGGGCTCTTGACCGCTGAGGTTGCAGGCGATTCTTCTACTGCGCGACGGCCGTTTCTTGCTGATCGGTCGCTGGGCCAACTTTTCGGGGTCGGTGCGGAGAAACTGTTGATGGAGCAATGTGATATCTAGGTCAATCTTACATTGATATTTTAATCCTTTAGTCTTTTGGTATTAATAGGAATATCTACTAACCAGAAAAGATTTTTTGTTTTTGCAGGGTATCTAAGATTGGCTATGTTAACTATCATTTGCTAATGGAAGGAAAAGAGGTTAATAATTGTACAATAATGGTTAATACTGGTTGATAATGATGATGGAGCAAGATGGTTGATTGGTTATGAAATAGGGATGTATGTGAGTTTTAACCATCAAAAATGGAGAGACGACATGATATAACTGAAAAATACCCCGGTTGATTGGATTTTTTTTCGGACTCTTACTAGCTAATTTAATGGGGATTATGATAACCCATAGTGGGGAATAAACCGTTTTCAACCAACTAGTAGAATGAGATGGGATAGTTTGTTTGGTTCATTTGGTAATATAAGAAAGTAGCTTTAACCGTCAAGAATGGGGGGGTTTTATCATGGCTTAAACATCCTGGAATGGTGATATGTATACCCAATATATTGTAAAACACCCAGTGATGGCTCAATTACTCCAAAGTATTGCAACAATGCGTTTTTAATCATAATCATACCCACCGTAAAGTGATGAGTACTATGAAAAGTGATGCAGGAGATGTTGGACAATCCATGGGTATTGTGGTTAAAATGGGCTTTTCTGCATGGAACTTGGGGGTTAATAATGTTAACCATGAGAAAGGACTCCAGAAAGAACGAAACGAGATGGGATGTCATGGGCAAAGCCGATAGTTTTTACCCTTCCCAATTGGTGCATTATTGGTGCAGAACCCCACTTTACTTTGGGATGATTGAGGAAACACCCTTCCCAGGCCATGCAAAATCATCACTCCATGCTCGATTAACATTTGATTATCTAGTTTGAAGTAATAAAAGTTTTTATGAGTAAATAAAGATTCATATCATTTCCTCAATTTCTATACTCAACTGATACTTCATTCTCTCTGACTGGCATTGTGCTACTCAATGGAATTCCGTGCGTTGACTGAACTGGATGCCATTGACTGTGTGCCTGGGAAGGGGCACCAACTTCGCGATGGCTTGGGGGCACCACGTTGTAAGGACCCTTTTCACATTGAACATTGCATTGCTCATGTTTGAAACCTACTTGGTGGCTCATCCCACTTAGTAAGTGGGTTATAACCCCAATTATAAGTGGATTCACCCTACTTGACTTATCCCATGTAAATCACTGGGGTTATAACCCACTTACGATTCGTGGGATGAGCCACCAAGTACATCCCTGTTCTTGATGTTTAATTCTGTTTAATCCATTTCTTCTGGAGAAACCCCCTACTGTATGGCGTTGATGAAGTCCCCCGAAGGAGGACGAAATCAGATATTCCGCAATCTTTGATGGTTACATCATATTTTTAAAGATGTTAACTCCCATAATATGATGTATAAAACCAATCATATTTAACATATGGTTACTGTAAATCAGGTTAAATCCCAACATTTTTTCTGGTGCTCCCCCTTTCTTTGGGTTCTGGTTGTCAGGATGCTGAGTCCCATTCGCTAATTCAGATTGTCAGCTGGTGTGGTGAGTTTCCCACCAATCAGGTAGGTCAATAACCCCCCTGGTTGGTGGTTTGGAACATGACTTTTACCATCTGGTTATTTAACATAGCCATGGAAAATCCCCATTTTAAATAGGTAAACCATCTATAAATAGGCAATTTTCCATGGCTATGTTAAATAATCAGAGGGTATGTTTCCAATTTGTTCCATTCAGTTGGGAATAATGATCCCAACTGACTTTCACTCCATCATTTTTCAGAGGAGTAGGTCAACCACCAACCAGCCCCTGTTCATTTATCAACTACATCCCCACATGTTTGATGGTAAAAAAACCTATACCCTCTGGTAAACTAACATAGCTATTGAAAATGGCCATTTATAGTGAGTTTTCCCATTAAACGTGGTGATGTTCCATAGTGATGTAAACGTTTACCAGAGGGTAATTGATGCAATCACCATCGAACTTTGTTAAATACCCTCTGATTATTTAACATAGCCATGGTATAGATGGCCTATAGAAATAGATGGTTTACCGTTCTTAAAAAAACGGGGGATTTTCCATCAAACCACTCGCTGGGTTTTCTCGCCTTTGACATCATCGAGGCACCTGCGAATTGCAGGGCACGATCGAATCACAAGCATCCGCTCGAGTTTCTCGCTGTCACCTGACATCACAAGCATCCGAAACGCGACGCGTCTGACCCACGATGGTTACAGCATTTTTTTGGGATCTTGGGGCAACGTGTTTAAGCCAAATCTGGGCATAAAAAAGATTAAACAAGTATCAATGAATCGGGATGAATGGTGATGTTTGGTCATCTATGGGAATTATTGGGGAAGAACTTGAATTTAGCCATCAAACATGGTGAAACTTTCGGATGTGATCATGGTCATCACATGATTAGCCTCTGTTGGATTTTTCCAGATTTAGCCAATGGGGATTCAACGACACTTATTCTGGGTAGGGGTGCCCTCCAAGAATCGCTGGCTTCAAAAGTGACTTTGTTAACATTGGATGACGACATTGGGTAGATCAAAAGCTACCAGGTTTTTTGGAGATGAACATCGATTTAAGACTGGTTGGTGGTTTGGAACATGTTTTGTTTTTCCATATATTGGGAATAATCATCCCAACTGACTTTCATATTTTTCAGAGGGGTAGGTCAACCACCAACCAGAAGATGATTTAAAATTTACCTTTTTGATGTGAACATGATGTGAACTATAGGGGTACAAGGTGGTGCCCCCTTGGCCAAGTTCGTTAAACAAACTCCAGCAACTCAGGTTTATGGTACCCTCTGGTAAACGTTTACATAGCTATTGAAAATCACCATTTTTTATGGGAAAATCAACTATTTCTATGGCAATGTTCAATAGCAAACTGTAAACGTTTACCAGAGGGTATATTCTATCAATCATCATTATTTTCACCAGTATTAACCATAAATTCATCCCATTTAATTATAGTGGATTTATGATAGTCATAACCAGGTCGGGTAGGTACATCTAAAATCACCTTATAACTGGGGTAAACCCACCGGTCGAGGCTTCGTGTCCGATTCGTTGATGTCCCTGGTGACCTTTGCCCAAGACCCGCGTAGTCGCGAGATCTTGAGAACCACTCTGCAGCTCGGAAATGTTCGATGCATTTTGACCATCTTTCGCACTCTGATGGATATTAAATGATATAAACCTTGATTCATCATTGAATTATGAACTGGATATGAAGCTTGATGATCTTGATTCATCATTGAATTATGAACTGGATATGAACCTTGATTATCTTGATTCATCATTGAATTATGAACTATGATGTTTTCTGTTAATGGACTGTATAATTGTTCACTATTCTGCTCTGGTAATCAAACATGACTTGCTGGGTGCATCCCCTATTTAGTTGAATGGTTTTCCCAGGTATCCATGTTTGATGTGTTTTTTCCCAGCTAGCCGAGTTGGATTGCAGGGTACAAAGACACCTCATGGTGTGTTGGCAAAATCTTTCTATTTAGTTAGCTTTGATTTGAGGCCCTGCCAAATGAAACCACCAACCAAATTTGCAATTCAAAAAGTGGATCTGATGAATGTATACGCGAGGTGCTAATCCCCCGAACAATGCATTGCAATGTAATCATGGTAATAATATGTAATAAGCTCAAATTGT